ACCAATCATTTAGTTCAATAATATCGACACGTACAAAATAACAGTAATCACTGATTGGCTAGAAAGGAAAAAGAAAGAAAAAAAAAGAAAAAATGAAAGCAATTAGTGAATCATTTTGCATATTTTGTTAATAATATAAACTAATAACAAATAAATGATTTGAACTTTTTTCATTTCTTAATTTAAACAAAATACGATCATATTGATTGATTTGGATAATACATCCTATCCTTTCTCGAGACTAACCAATCATTATCAGTGTGATATTACGATGTAAGTATTATATATTTACGTTTGACTTGCGATAAATACTAGAATTAAAATAATTGAGTTTTGAAAGTATTATATATTTAATTAAACTAAAAAAAATGTCTTTTGAATAACAATTTTTTGAATAAGATAAGTAGTAATTTTGAAAGGAGACATACCATAAGAAATATTGAATAGTAATACTTCATTTATTCACTAAAAAATTGCATATTTATGCAAATTAGATTTTCACAGTCACTTGAAAAAAAAAATAAGGGAAAGAAAGAATTTGTTTGTTTCCAATAAATTGCAAAAGACTTTTGACTAGAAATTAAGTTCACGTAACAACTAGATATTGGAATAATTTAGAAATTTTGTTGGTAAAAATGATATACGGTAGATATTTATTAGTAGTTTTAAATTAATTAGTGATAACTTTATGATCATATTTGTTTAATCTATGATTTTTGTTTATTACAATTTCCATTATAGGTTCTTTTCCAATGCAATCCTAATTTTTGAATTGCCAAGTCAAATAGATTCATATGGCATCAATTGCTATCCCTCATCGAATACATAAAGATAAATAACCGGAGTGAAGGTTCAAATTTCATTAGGAGAATTGACAAGTGATACTGTACGGAACATAATCTACGATCACAAGCAAGGTTTAGAAAAAGCGATAGATAATAAGAGTGAACTATGTCAGTTTAAAGAATTGAAGAGGAAAAGGGAGTAAATAATTTTTGATGGTTTCAGAAAAAAATGACAATAGTAAAGGAAACCACGTGAATAAAATGTATTCTTTTTTATATGCAAAAAATTTTCTATTGTTTTGTTGTTTTGAAAAAGGAATTGATGAAAAATTGTTGGCAGAAATTGTAACTTTTAATCTCCATCGTAACACAATAATATATTATAGCAGAAAAAAAACAGCAAAATAATGTAATCACATACTTGAAAACAAGAATTGAATGATTAAAAGGAGAGTAATGTTATAAGTTATGAGGAATAATAGATTTGGATAGGAATAAACAGGAAATGGAAAATGTAAATCTGAATATGGTTTGGTTAAAGAATGAATGAAGGAGGTGGGTGGAGCAAGGAGTCCATTTCATCCAATAGGCATCCAAATTCAATTCCTTCATCTTATTCTCAACCATTCATCTTAGGAATAAATTCGTCCCACATTCTTATTCCATTTTTTTTTCTTTGTATATATGGTAATAAGTAAGCAATGCCATCGTTGCCATTTTCATTATTAATTCTATCCATTTCAAATTGATGATTAAACTTAAAGCAGAAGTGAAATTTCAACATTTTGCATTGCTTTTTATCATTCCTAAAATTTAAACATGAACGATTTTAAAATTAGAAAAATATTCGATAAAAATTAAAAAGCTAAAACAAATGTTAGCAATAGTATAGATATTGCTAAAATCCGATTAGTTAATATTCTGATAAATTAACACTGCTTAATTACAAATTAATGTAATTTAAATTGATCAATTAGTACTTTTAATGTTCATTATCCTGAAATATTAATTATTATATAACAAAATTAAAACTACTGGAATATAACTTTGTATTCCAATCATTCAATTTTCCACAATCTTTCTATTAATTTATGAACAAAAATTCACCAGTTTAGTTATTCTGTCAGATGATGAAACTGTAATTGGTTTGTTCACCTGGTATTATTTGGGTAACACATGATGCTGCTTTCTTGGTAACCTCAAATGGAGATGCTTCATTCTGCTTCTATACCACAGCTAATCATTACATATATAGTATCCGCATGGAGAATTAGCAATTGATCGGTGTCATAAATATTGGAATTTGTTAGAAATGAATTTATTTAAAAATTTACGCAAAAAAGTTTGCAATAATTCAACGCAATACATGTTGAGCATTGTAGCATATTTTCATTATCAAATTAAAAATTAATATCAGCAAAAATTACGAAAAACTAAGCGCATAATTGACATTAAATTCAACAATTAGTCGAAAAATGCATACGCAGTTCAAAACTTACCTACCGTTTCATACAATTTGTTCATTAGTTAAATGTTATAGATAAATAAATGAACCGTAATTTTGGGACAAACAAAGGAAAAAGAAAAAAAACAATTTTTGGATTTATTCTCAGAATGACGAATTACGGGAAAGAAGTGAAAAAGTGATTATTATTATGGGAGAAGTTTAAACAGTGATAGCACTTTTTAGAATAAACTTTTTTTTTCAAACTGTTTTGTAGAGTGTAGGAAAGAGAAGTATGAGTGAGTGCTTTCAAAGCAAAAGGTTACAATTTATTTTTTTTTCTTTCCGAAGCATCGTTAATTTATTCCATATTTTTTGTTTGAGATAAGAGGCAAGCCAGAATTTTGATTGATACAGCTAGGGAAAATATGAAGAAAGGAAATTGAAATTTAAGTCAAAAAGCATTCATAAATACAAAAAAGGTATTTTATCGATTTAATGAAAGGACTCGATATGAAACTTATCTTTCCCAGCAAAAAAAACAGAAAAAATGACAAATAAAGCAAATTATTTCATCACTGACCACGTATATTTTCTCTTCTACATTTTTCTCCTATATTGAATTGTTTGGAAAAGAAAACGATATCTTATTTTATAAACTGAATAATACATCTCTTCTCCCTTTTCTTCTCCTTCGCTCCTTTTCCTCTCACTATTTCCTCCTTGCTACTCTGTTCCTGCTCTTATCTCATATATTTATTATATGTTTGATTTAATTCATTGATAAAGGGCAAATCAAAAAAAAAAAAAAGATAAGAAAAGGATAAAAAAATTATTATCAGCTGTTTAAACTGGCGTAAAAACAAACAAACAAAAAAAAAAAAAAGAAGAAGTAAAAAGAAAAAAGAAGAATTTAAGAATTTTATTTTAGAAGAAGAATTTTATCATGATAATATCATCTATGAACAACAGATAAACAAAAAAAAGAAAAAAGAAACGAATGGAATGGAATAGTGTACAGACAACGTCTGATCATTTATCCATCTGTAGGTAGCGGACGTAAATTCATAAAGAGAAATGAATTAATTTACTTGTAACTAAATTATAATTAAAACTTTTGTTAATGAACGCCCTTAATCAATCATAAATAGCAAAATTTAATTAAAAATTAATATAATCGAAGGATTAATTGCATGCACATTTTGAACATATAATTCTTTGAGATTTTTTTTTTTTAAATTGAAAATAAAGATTTAATTATAATCACGTTATTTCCAATTATTATTTAAAATATTTGGAAGTAATATATTTCTGAAATTTACACTTTCTTCATTGATATATTAAATCCATTTCGAAAATTCATCAAATAATCATATTTTACCTTCGTTTATCCATGTAAATGGATGTCATTTGAGAATATGAAATTTTAACTTTTAAGAAAATGAAACATTAAAACTTATTATTAATGAAAAAAAATGGGATTAATTTAATTAATAAATTACTTATCTGCTAGCTTCTTTTATGCCAATCCTAAAGTTTCTATTTTAAAATTTTCAACAAATTTTTAAAATGCTGCATATATTTGAATAATTGTTACTCCCGACAACATATTAGCTAATCATTTCATTAATCACTAAATAAGCCTTACTTCCCCGCCTCTTTGTCCTCTGATGAAAATTGCTTCCCCGCCCAATTCATATCATATACAAACAATATATATATGCATATATATGTACATGCATTTTAGCAATCAGCTAAAACAGTATTGTATTTCTCGAGCTTTCAGCAGAATTATGCTGGTGATTTCTATCAAATTTTTTATCAATACATTCTTTTTTTTTTTAATTTTCAATCAATATTTCATTAAATTATAAAACTTTTCATCATTATTTTGTAAAAAAAAAAAGAATTTTTTTTTCATTTCCTTTTATGAAAATTATCCAGACAATAATGAAATTTTTAAACGATAAATGTTAAATATAATACAAAGTATTATTAATGTAGTAACTTTATTTATCAAAATAAATAGTAAATCAAATTTTATTGACCATTAAATTTGCATATTTTCTGCTTCTTTCTTATCCAAATTCATATTAAATATTATATTTCAATAATTATTGAAAGATTTTCTACAGTAATTGTTAATACTTCCTTTTCCGTTTTGTTTACTTTATTTCCATATAATTATAACTATGATCTAAATAATTTAAGAATGCAAAAAATATTATCATTTTCATCAGTGATTCATAATTTAGCAAAAAAGTTTTGCTAATAGCTAAAATATTGAAATAAATGAAGTTTTGAAATAACCTTTTCTTTCAACTAATTTTATCATAAATTATCGATCAATACTTTGTTGATTCTATTGTATTATCAGTATCAGTGTTAAATTATCAACAATATATTTGATTCAGAATTTCTTTATTCAAAAAAGCAAAATAAAATATGTGTTAAGAAATAAGATAAGATCTTTTTAAAAATTAAAATAAAATCCGGTTTTTTCCTTTTTTTGAATTTAATACTTATTTTTTGTAAGTTAATTTGTCAGTTATTAATTAATAATTACTGTCGTTTATTCTTTCAAATCCCTCTTTCATTTTACCCTAAAATTTGCAATTTTACCCCTGAATTAAAGAAGAAGAATGTATGGTAGTTGGTAAAATAGTATAATAATAATATATCTATCATCTCATAATAAATTAAATTTGACAGTTACAATTTAGGTACTGTATTGTTAAATCTCTACATCTATTTTACTCTTGCTAAAATATTTATAGTGGACAGTTCATTATTCTGATTAATAACAAATAAATTTTCAAATTTCCTCGTTTCATTTTTCTCTCAATCAAGCAATGATGATAATTATCACCATCATTAATACCAACAACACTGTCACCATCATCATCATCATCATTCGTAATAGCAATAGCAATAATAATGTCAAGTAATGTTATCCATGAATAATGCATATCATTAATTGCAACTACCGGTTGATTGGTTATAGCTGCAGTAGTAACGGTAATAGTGGTAGTATCAAAAATAATAATAAAGATAGTATATAAGTACCAGTATTGAAGTAATAACTGCTCCGACAATATTCTTCTCCTATCATCATCAATAATGATTTGAAGGGAATCGGATTCGGAAAATAGACAAACTCAAAAAGGGGGTCGAATGAAGAGAGTACCGCTAATCCATCTCGTCTCGTCTCCAAAATTTCATACTCTATTCATCTTCCTCATTTCATTCTATCTCTTTCTTGTTCCCTATTATATTCATCATCAACTACAATTATAATTTGTATTGTTCAATTGTCAATTACTATTGTAATTTCGAGAATATATTCAAAAAGAGAGGGAAAAATGTGCAATTTTTCTAAAATTTTTATGGAAAATTTTGACACTTTTTTTCATTTTTATTTTTATTTTACATTAAATTTCAACAGTTATATATTTAAAAAAAAAGAAAAGGAAAAAAACGAAGTAAACAAAAACAAGAACAAGAAGAATGACAAAAATGAAAACGAATATCAATTTGTATTTAAATGAATTCATTTGGAGATGCAATTAGGATAGGAAAGTTTGGATGGAAAATTTTTAAAATTTTATTACGTTGGGGAGATTTTGAAAATTCGTAATAATAACAATAATATATAGTAACAGCAACAACAATAAATAATAAATAATAAATAATAAATAATAAATAATAAATAATAAATAATAAATAATAAATAATAAATAATGAATAATAAATGATAAATAATAGACAATAAATAATAATAAATAATAAACAATAAATAATAAATAATAAATAATAAATAATAAATAATAAATAATAAATAATAAATAATAAATAATAATAAATAATAAATAACGAATAATAAATTGTGAACAATAAATAATAAATAACAGATGGTAAACAATAAATAATAGGTAGTAAATGATAAGTAATGAGCAGCAAATGATAAATAATAAATAATAATAATAATAATAATAATAATAATAATAATAATAATAATAATAATAATAATAATAATAATAA